GTGAGGCCCCCCGGCACCGGCCTCGCCTGAGGGGAGACCGAGACAGCCGGGAGGGTCCAGGGGGAGAGGAAAGCCCGAGGGCATTCAGGGCATCTTGCCGAGTGTCTGTCCAGCAAAAGCTGTGGGCCGCTGATTTAGAAATTAATTAGTGCTGTGCTGGGTGGGTAACAGTATCTTAATAACTGTTCCAGCAGCTACTTAGACTACTACCCAGATGCGTGTAAGCGGCGACATGGCGTGCAGATGCGCGAGGCTGAAGCTCAACCGGGGAATACCGTGCCGCCTGCAGACGGCACCTCCGCATCCCCGGCACTGCCACCCCTTTTACGCCACCGCAGTCCCACCCAGGTGCATAACGGGAGTGTCTCACCTCCCCTCTGTTGGAAATAGTGGAGTTGGAGATACCGGTACTGCACGGGGATCCCTAAGGTGAGGGTATTTCTGGACAACCACTTGAAGAGCTGGCAGTCCTTCCCACCCTGGGCACTGGGAGAGCCTTGCAGTTGGCATTGTCTGGTAATAGTAGTGCTGTAATCTCAGGCAGTCATGCCCATAAACAAAGCAAGGGCTTCTAGGGAGAGGTAATATCTTTTATTAGATTAGACCAGCTGATGTAAAGGTCAAGTTTTCAGGCGCAGTTTCAACCCTTCATGTCCCAGAATGTGTTTTTTGAAGCTCGATCAGTTGGGCTATAAAAGTTAACTACCTCTCGTACAGACCATGGTATTTGCAGAGGAACCAAACTAAACTATTCGGTTTATTGAGCAGCTGAAGAATTCAGGAGGTTTCATGTTTACAGATTTTTTTTTTTCTTAAAGCTAATGATTTGGATTTATCACATAAAGCAATAAGAAAGCCATTTTTTTGGTGTTAGATATCCTGCCTTTTGGCTATCTCTAATCACATGAAATAAGTTTTTAGCAAGTTTCTCCAGGTAATGGCATATGTATGCTATACCTATGTTTATTGCTGCTGAAATATAAACAAGTACAAACCGTAGGAAGATCTCATGATCTCGCAATACATGTTCCAGGTTTATTTTAAAGAATTTAGCTGTATCTGCCTTTTGCTATAATCCTCGTCAGTGGCTTGTTATGAATATTGTTTTAAATGGAGAGGAAGTGTTTCTCACTTCCGAAATGAGATCTCTGGTTATTGCAATAGCAAATATTTTTAAAGAGAGAAAACTGGCATTGAATATTAATATGCATGTGATAATTATTTTGGCAATTAACACTGCAAGTAGTTATTAATTCCTGGGTGTTTTACATGGCTAAGCATGAAAAATCATGCATGTATCACTAGTCTGCAAACGTAAAAACATCAGGCCTTTTCATTCCAACTGCATTTGCGATTTCTTAAATCCATTTTTGTGTTGTCAATCTATGGTAAATCAGTGATATACTTGCCTTGAACCTGTTCAAGAAAATAATACAGAGTTTCCTCAAAACCCTTTTGAGTTTAAGCTACATCTTCAGCTGTATCAGCTGTAATACTTTGAGTCAGAAGAATATAGCATACCTTTACACATCTACGTTTTAAGCAAAGTGGTAATCTAAAAAAAGACCACTATCAGTCTGATATTGGTATAACTCCTGATCTGATTTGTACTTTCACAACAGTGTAAAAAGAAGGGTATTTTATATTTAACATTAAAGAAAACAAGGTAGTTACTGTACTTAGTGATAAGGGGGTATTTGTTCTTCGTTCACTTAATTTTGGCAGACAGACATTTAATTTGTATACAGCTACAAGGACTCTTGGTTTGACAGAATTACAGATGGATCCCAGACATGGAATTTACCCTGTCTTTACACATAAGCCTTTCATGGGTTTGTGGTGCTCCTTTTGATCTGGCTTGGAACATGCAGTTCAGTGGTCCTAAACAATTATAGCTGCAGAAATATTTTATAAACTAGTTTTGGCCTCTTTAGCAGTGGCTTTGCAACTATAAATGGAAAATCATTCAAGGGTAGGATGCCAGTTTGTTTTTTGATGTACAAATCATTTTTCTGTGCAACGGTCCCTGTCAGGCACAGAAGTACGGAAGATGCATGGGAGTTTCTGCTTGCAGCACAGAGACAGTACCACCTTCAGGCTATCTTTTAATGTCTGTATGGAGCCCAGTTCAAAGTTTGCTGTGGCACATCATCAGGTACTGCACTGGTGACATTAATGTGCTCTAATATATGCCTGTGGTCATTGTAGGTCTTCTGGATGGGACTACTAAAATGCATCTGTTCGCATAATGTGACTGTAAGGAATGCTGCTAAGAATGCTCTAGCAGTAAAAGTCCATTAAAGTTGATAAGAATATTGGTATTCTCAGGTATCTCAACCTCCTTGTATGTCAAAGCTCCTAGCCATCTTAATGACCCTTCACTTGACTCTCTTCAGTCGCTCTTTTATTTGGTGAGAGAACAAACTGAACACAGTGCTCCAGATGTGGCTTCATATGTGCTGAAGAGAGGGCAATAATCATGTCCCTTGACCTGCTGGCCATGGTCTTGCTAATGCAGTCCAAGATGTGGTTAGTCTTCATCACCTCAAGGACACACTGCTGACTTTGTTCAGTTTGTGGTCCACTGGGTCCTCTCTTGTAGGACCGTTAGTCCCAGCCTGCACTCCTCCGTCAGTATATTCTGTCCCAGATGCAGGACCTTGTATTTATCCTTTTGGAACTTCAAAACAGATGTATCTGTTATACACTCATTCAGCTTGTTGAGGTCTCCCTGAATGGCAGCTATACCCTCCAGTATACCAACAGCCCCCCTTGATTTGGTATCACCTTGTACTTCCTGAGACTCTCATCATGCAGATCATGGATGAAAACATTAAATAATATCAGCCCTTGTACTGATCCCAGGGAATACCACTTGGAATCACCTACCAGTTGGACTTCAAACAGTTATTAGCTACCCTTTGAGGCCGATAATCTGGTTAGGTTTTAACCCACCTTGTAGTCCACCTATATCTCCCCAGTTTGGCTGCAAGGACACTAGGAAACTGTATAAAAGGCCTTGCTAAAGACAAGGAGAACAACACCTACTACTCTAACCTCACCCAGAGAGCCTGTAATGTAGTTGTAGAAGGCAATCGGAGTGACTAAACACAGTTTGCCCCTGGGAAATTCAAGATGGCTGTTCTCTATAACATTCTTGTCATTGGGTGAATGGAAATGGTTTCCATGAGTACTTGCTCCATTGTTTTCCCAGCAACTGAAAGAAGGTTGGTCAGCCTGTCATCACCCAGATCCTCCTTCTTGCAATTTTCTAAGATGGACATAACATTTTTATAGTTGTCAGAAACCTCCTCTGATCACGGTGACCTTTCACAAGGGACAGAGAGTGCCCTTCCAATGACATTTGCTGGCAGTCTTAGTACTCTCAGATGTATCCTGTCCAGTCCCATGGACTTGTACTACATTTCCAGCTTGTTTAAATAGACCCTAACTTGATCCTTGCTACTTGACGTGGAGTTCTGGGAGGCCTGAGAGCAGACCTTGCCGGTAGAAACTGAGACAAAGAAGACATTGAATACCCGTGTGCTGTGTCACAAGGTCACCTGCTGTGTTCAGCAGCAGGCCTAGATTTTACTCCATCTCCCATTTTGCTGCAAAAGTGTTGTTACCCTTGACATCCTTCAGCAATTTTAACTGCACACAAGCATTGGCCCTCTAATTCCATCCCTGTATGCCTGGGCAATGCTGCTGTGTTCCTCCTCCTCGTGTCCCCACTTCCACCTCCCATATGCTTCCTTTTTGTTGTTGAGCTCTGTCATATATTCACTGTGCCGCTAAGGCAGGCCCCTGCTATACCTGCCTGTTTACTTGCAAATTAGGATGGATAACAGATATGTCTGACTCTGCCAGGTCTTGCAGACAGGTTGTTCGGGCACTTTTTCAGCAACTTCACTGCTTTCCTTTTGACCAGTGTGTCTTATGAAGCCACAACCTCTCTTTATTTCTTTGCATTTAAAGAACACGTTGTTAGAATTATGAGTGATTAGGGAAAGATGTTGACAACTCCATCAGTAATAGACCTTACATTTCCAGATATGGTACATTCTTTCTCCTTTGTCACTCAAAGTACTGAGTGAATTCGGTCAAAGGTGACTCCTACCACTAAGAGATTAAACTTCTGTTTTAGTTCATGTTTCTACATTAATAAACAGGATTTTTCTTGCATTCTGTCTAGGTAGTATATACCTATTGTTTAATCTCCTGTTTCCCCTCCTAGACACACAGTTTCGGTTGCACTTATATGTTATCATTGGTGATACATATGTATCAGCAGAGATTATCTATTTACCATCTGCCATTGGGAACATTGCTAGAAGTTTAATCTGTCTAATATAACTACAATTACTGTTTTTCAGATCAGGCTATATACATTATATATGGATAGATGTTGTCAGCAGTCTGATTAGCTGTTTGGAACAAGGACTTTATGAAAATAACCATTATTAGATTGTTACAGAAGCAATGCTCCTTTGAGACAATCAGGACTTAGGACATGGTAGTAATAAGTGATGAATAAATCAGTGAACAAGATATGACCAGACTTTAAAAGATGATGCGTATTTTAGTACACTTTGGATCTTGGAGAAATATCTTAAACTTCTGTTCCTAGTGAGCTGATAGGATGTATTTCAGCATTCATGCAGAATGGCAGATGAAATCACAAACATATAGTTAATAGGTTGTATTTAATGTCAAGGTCTCTCTTGACCTGCTGTTTACAAACAGAGAAGGACTGGTGGGAGATGTGGTGGTCGGAGGCCGTCTTGGGCTTAGCGACCATGAAATGGTAGAATTCTCCATTCTTGGTGAAGTAAGGAGGGGGGCCAGCAAAAC